CATTTGAATGGTCACTAAATGAACTATTTTAAGTCAAGGACTACTTGTGTATAGAATTTATGGGTGCCTGTTGGAAGTGTAAAAAGACACAAGGGACTTTCTATCATTTATGGTGGACTTGCCCGGCAGCAAAAAAATTTTGGTCTAAGATTAAAAAACGGTTGGAACAAATAACAGAAACACAGATAGAAAAAGAACCAGAAACATTTTTATTAGGAATCTTTAACAAATCATACCCTAAAGATATTAAATATCTCACAATTCACATATTAACTGCTGCAAGAATAACGTACGCAAAAAATTGGAAGCAAGAAAGAACACCAAATGAAACAGAAGTAATAGAAAAAAATCTTAGAATGTGCTGAAATGGATAGGTTAACCAAAGAAATACAAGAAAGAGAAGAATCAGAATATTATAAAATATGGAATAATTGGTATAATTGGTTAAAAATGAGAAATAAACAAAAAATATAGGGGGAAATATTACCGATTTAAATATATAAAAAAAATGTTATTAGATTAAAGAGAGGTGAAGGAATATATTATAAGTAGAATTGTAGAATGTCACTTTGAAAAAATGCTAAAGAAGAAATCATAATCCTTTTGTGTATATGTTGTATAAATGTTTGTTGTGTATATGTTATGTTATGTCTTTTTTAATATTTATACTCAATAAAAATTATTTTAAAAAAAAAAGAATTTATGGGTGCCCAGTAACTGAACTCTAATAAAAATGTAATTTGAGTTTCAGTGGTAAAAGGCCTTCTTAGATCATCCCAATTCTAATTTAGCCTGTGCCAAAGTACTTCCAACCCCGTGAAGTAATTATTGCAGAACAAAACTGATTTTCTTTTTTACTGTACTCCCTAACATCACTAAGCAGATGCAGAATCAAAAATATGCCACAATCTTTTAACTAAGCCTACAAAAAACAGATTTGTAAAATAAAAAAAACCTGATTCATCAAGTCCAATAATTAACTTGTTGAAAATTGCACATGGGATATTAAAGAGAAACTCACCAGCAAATGTGTTGGGGTTTATCAGCCAGTGGGCTTTATATTGAACTAGCTGGATAGCCGTGCTTTGCTACGAAACTATGTGATTGGGCATGATAAATCGAACTAATTATACAAAATATTCTTAAAAGGAAGATAAAATTTACTCCACAGTTGTTTTTACTGGGTAAAATTGAAGGATGTACAGTTATAGAGACTAATTTGATTTTGAATTTAATAACGGCAGCCAGACTTTTGGTGGCACAATACTGGAAGAAGGAAGAAATATCTACTATTGAAGAATGGACATTAAAAGTAGCTAATTTGGCGGAGATGGCTAAAATTTCTACATATTTGAAGGACCGTTCGAATGAAAGATATGTACTGGAATGGAGAAGATGGATTAACTATATACAAAACAAATACGGGACTAAAAAGTTGCAAATAGCTTATGAATGAAATATTTAGATGATTTTTTTTCTACTTTGATATTTTAGTACCTATGGCGGAGTTAAAGAGTAAGGGGAAGTTAAGAGTTTATAGTTAGTTTGCTTATGTTAGATTATGTTTGTTAAATGCAATACCCTGTATTTTGCTCTGGGAAGTCGGGCGGGGGGAGGAGGGAGAGGGGAAGAGGTGGGGGAAGGGGGGGGAATTTGTTTGTAAAACATTTTAAAACTTTTCAAAAAAAATAAATAAATAAAATAAATCGAACTAACCAGTTCTGGAGTAACGCCCAGGTAGATTCCACCTTTTCTCTGACTCCTTAAGGTAATGTTTTTTTTTTAATTGAAAAGTTTTATAAGAAATACAAACATTTTCACCCCCCCACCCCTCCTTCCCCTCCCTCCCCCCCACCCCCCTCCCTAGACTTCCCAGAACAAGCACAGGGTATAGCATTCACAAATCAAAAGCTAAAATATGCTAACAAATTATTACATTACATATTCTCCCTAGGTCCTTAACTCCTTATAACTCCAAAAAAAAAAAAAAAAAACTAGATATAAACTACTTAAAATTATTTCATTCATAAGCTATATGAATCTTCTTATTCGGATATTTCTTCTGTATATAATCAATCGATCTTTTCCATTCCGATATATATCTCTCATTTGAATGGTCTTTAAGATATGATGAAATTTTCGCCATTTCTGCCAAATGCACAACTTTTAATGTCCATTCCTCGATGTAGGTGGATCTTCCTTCTTCCAGTACTGTGCCACCAGTAACCTGGCAGCCGTTATTAAGTTCAAAACCAGCTTAGTCTCTATTACAGTACAATCCGTAACTATTCCCAACAGAAAGAACTGTGGTGTGAATTTAATTTTTTTCTTCAAAATGTTTTGAATAATCCACCATATTTTTATCCAAAAAGCCTTAATTTTTTTACATGCCAAGAGGAAGCCAACAGGAAGCCCTCCTTAAGGTAATGTTGAGGCCTGCTGGTGGTCAGCAAATCTGGCAGCAGAGTCAGACAGTGAGGAACTTGGGGAGGAACTTGGGCCAGTCCTGGGGGCTGGGAAAAGCTCGGACAAGGGCTCCGTGTCGGAGGCAGAGAGGGAGGTAGACAGCAGTAAGGCAGAGGAACAGCTGGAGCCCGGCAGGTGCAGAGCTGCCAGAAGACAAGAACAACTAAGAAAGCAGGGTCGAGTTGGGAGTAAAGCCACACCTTGGAGGTGATTGGCTCCTCCCATAGGAAACAAAAGAGGAGCAAATGGGGAGTGGGCTTTTGCAGGAAATAATTCGTTCGTTCCGTGACTCTGAGAGACTCTGTGCCAAGTTTTGCCTTGTACTGCGTTTGGAAACTAGTTATGTGGCAGCTTGCCAAGCAAGATAAGGTTTGTGTTGATAAATATTCCTCTAAAAGACTATTTGGACAGACCTTGCTGACTGTGAATGAAAGGAATTCACAGTCGTATAAAGAAAAGAGGTTTTGCCGGGACTAAGACTCTGCTTCCTGCTTTTTTAACTTTAACTTTTATTTGATTTATATACCGCCCTACTCCCGAAAGCCTCAGGGCGGTGAACAGCCAACAATAAAATACATACATACAAAATTTAAAAAATAGAGATAAAATCGAATTAAATAGTTTGGCCCAGACAGATTAAAACCCCAATCAATTTAAATGATTTTTAAGAGAGCCTAGGTCAGAACAGGCAAGTACATTAAGGTCTCCCCTAATTTTATTTCCATAAGAGAAGAGCATGAATTTTCAGCCCTTGCTAGTCTCTTGTCCACTGAACTGAGCACGAATGGAGATTTGTATGGGAAGACACGAGGGCCTTTCAACTGAATTGTAGTTTTAAGTCACAGTCCATTTTACTTGATGTTCCTCACAGCTGCCATGAAGCCCAATGGAAAAAGTAATTTACTGTGGGCCTTTTTAAATATATTAATGTATAAGCAGCATGAACGATCCTGCTGCCTTTGTGAGGCTTTAAGTAGCTTAGCAATGATGGCATCAAATATTAATTAGCTAATTTATTTACAGCCACTTGTATCCTGCTTTATGATGTCCAGTTTGAGTGCTCTCAAAGCAGCGTGCGAGAATTTATTTTCTGCAAATACATTTGTCTTTTCCTCATTGTTGACTTTTGAAGTCTCCTATTCTGGAATTCTTTAAAGAAGATTCTTTTGGGGGACTTAATGTCCTTTGGTTCCAAGCCACAATGGGAAGTTAGCGGGACCTTTTATCCCTGATAAGGTCCCGCTAAAAGGTCCCGCTAAAAGGGACCAGCTGTCAGCAAGGAGTATAAATCCTTCCATTCCCCACCATCCAGCCAGAGCTGAAGAAGCTTCTTGGATGAGAAGTGAAACATCTTCAAAGAAAAACCAAGAAGTCCAGTTGCCTCTTAAAAAAAGCACCTTTGGGGCAACCATGACCTGGATGGTTGAGAATCTCCATAGATATTTAACTTTAAAATAACATTCATCTCTTATGTCTTCCTCTAAAAAGGAAATTAGAGTTAACCTTGTAGGTAGGGAAGGAGTGAACAAACCTTTAAGGGGAAACCTAAATATAATATATAATTAATATTGTTTTTACTATGTGTGGGTAACCTACTACGGTATTAGATTCACAGATTGGTGGAAATATAGTAATTCAAGTCCTAACAAAAGATCTAATCCAACTCAATGAATGAATGAATGAATGAATGAATGCTCATTACTAGACATATTAATTCTATTAAGATCTGGCAGATATTTATGAGGCTTTGATAACTCTTGATATTCTGTATTTCAAATATGTAGGATCAGAAGGAAAATGGGGCAGATGAACAAGATGTTTAGTAAAATACAAATATTTTTCATACATTTCATCAGTTATGCATGAGCATTGTAGGAAATTGTGTTTGATATATGAATGACCAGGCTGAGACGTATTGGTTCAGTACAGGGGTGAAATCCAAAATTTTCCCTATCGGTTCTGTGGGTGTGGCTTGGTGGGTGTGGCAGGGGAAGGATACTGCAAAATCTCCATTCCCTCCCCATTCCAGGGGAAGGATACTGCAAAATCCCCATTCCCACCCCACTCTGGGGCCAGCCAGAGGTGGTATTTGCCGGTTCTCTGAACTACTCAAAATTTCCGCTACCGGTTCTCCAGAACCTGTTAGAACCTGCTGGATTTCACTCAGTAAGATTTAAACAAAAAAGATTTGTTTTTAAAACTTCACTTTATAATACATAACTGTAATTCAGGACATAATTTAAGGCTTAAAGGGGAAAAAGTGACACATTAAAACTGCTGTTCAGGACTTACTGAGATTCTCTATATTTGTATATAGAAAAACAACAATTCTCCGTTTTTAAATCTCGTATTATTTCCAAGATCCAAGATGTGTTTGAGAAATTCAGGATAAAGAACTGTATACAATTATTTTCCTCAATTGCACCTTTGTGTTCTGTTTCTATGTGGTTGAAATTATTTTCAAACCCAACACATTAAATGTTTATAATTTTACAATATTTGAAAACTAAAAATGAAATGAAAACCCATTCAGCATTGGTATAAATACATAGCTTTAATTCTTATAATATATGTTATTAATTTAATAATACTTTGGTTACTTGTAGTAAAGCTGACAGAACATGAACTTGGTAAATACAGCCAAAACCTTTTTAAAACAGATCTTGAATTTTTTTTTCTCCAAGTCAACAATGAGATTAGCAATCATTTATGTCAGGATGTATTGGTTTAAATGATTTTTAACAGTTGAATTAAATAATGAAAAGTTGTACCCTGAAAAACCTTTGTTGTTCCACAGAAAGGAATATAAAGAATTAGAATAGAAATTCTTAAAGGTGGAAATACTGCATATGATCAATTTTATATATGATCTGTTTGAATACCAAAACTCACTAACCAATGCCTTCCTTGTAAATATATCTATTTTGAGATTGGTGCAATCTCGCAATATACTTTTAATAAAGGAAGGAACTAAATATCCCCTGTAACAAAATGTATTAAGCCTTTTTCTAAACGTTTGTCTTGAAATATTTTTGATATGCAACATGAATTAATTTCAAATTCCGTACCAGAGGTTTCCAAGTTATTGATCCAAAACTAAAGGAAGTGGGTAAGAAACTGAAATGATTTGATGTTTACCTTATTCTTGCAGAATTTTTTTAAAAAATCACACAGATAAATAAAGTTATGTGAGGAATTGCAGATATCAAGCGATCTGTACACCAAATAATTCTATCATTTTATATTCTTCCCCAACTGCAGAAGTCTGCGGATCTGGTTTGAAAGCTATCAGCTAAACCCTTTGAGAGTTGCAGGAGATGGTGGTGCCATATTGTGCTGTTACTGCCATTGCTAACCCCACATTTAACACACTGTACAACCAGACAATTTTACAGAATTACTTAAGCAGAAATCCCCTGAGTTAGCCTGTGGCATGCCTCCTTACCCTTCACAAAACGGTATGGGACGGCAGCTTCAGTGGTGGAAACCATTAATTGGAGAAGACTATAAATCCATTTCCCTTGGATTGCAAGGTGAACCAACTGGTCAGTCCTAGAGGAGATCAACCCTGACTGCTCTTTAGAAAGCCAGATCCTGAAGATGAAACTCAAATACTTTGGCCACCTAATGAGAAGGAAGGACTCCCTGGAGAAGAGCCTAATGCTGGGAAAGATTGAGGGCTAAAGAAGAAGAGGATGATAGAGAACGAGGTGGCTGGATGGAGTCACTGAAACAGTAGGTATGAGCTTAAATGGACTCCAGAGGATGGTAGAGGACAGGAAGACCTGGAGGAACGTTGTCCATGGGGTCGCGATGGGTCGGACACGACTTTACAACTAACAACAAATAAATCCATTTAAAAGATGCAACAGCCTTTAAGAACAAAAGCATGTAGAACCTTAAGTCTTTTATCTCACATGCTTTTGGTGAGAAAGGTCATCTTAAGCCAAAACTAGGCAAGAATGTAAGGCCAACAATTTTGGAACAAGGTCCTTCTTAGTCCAGCATTTGCTTCCTTGCAATGGTCAGTCAACCAGATGACTCAGTGGTGCTCCAGAGAAGGACCCAGGGTGGCATCTTTCTCCCATCACTCTTTCCCTATTATTGGTATCTAAAGGAAGACCTCTCCAACATGGAGTCTTCAAGACAGATAACCTTTGGTAGACTTCATGGACTTATCAAAGTCCCCTTTGAAAGCCATACCGGTTGATGGCAAATCACCATCTTTTCTGGTAACGAATCCCATAGATTAGTTACATGTTGCCAGAAATGCTTCTATCTCTTTTTTTTCCTAAATCTCCTTCCAATAAGATTTACTAGGTGATCCCGGTTCTAACATTCTTCTCCTTTCACTTCCTCTACACATCGCATGGTTTATACACCTCAACTTTTTCTAAGCTAAAAAGTCCCAAACACTCTACCTTTTCCTCATAAGGTGTTAAGAGCTCCCTGAAGATTTTGGCTACCACCTTCTGCACTTTCTACAGCTTTATCAACATCCTTTTCAAACTTCATAACCCAAACTCTAAATCACGTTCCAGATGCAAATATATCACAGATTTGTATAAATTCAGTATAACAGTTTCATTTGCGATCCTTTTGTTGATAATCTCTACAATGGAATTTATCTTTTTCACAGCTGCCATACCTTTGAGTTGACCTCAACTTTCATTCCTGGTTGATTACAGAGAGTAGTTTTTGGTTTTCACCCCAATTTTGACCAGTCCTCTGCCTAATCTCAACCAACACCACTTATGAACATGTTAAAAAGCTCCAGTTTCAACACAGATCTGTGAGGAACTCAATTTCTACCTTGCGTAGAGCATGTGACTTTCCTTCACCAACATTTATTCTTCTATTCCTCCACATGAACTTGCCTAGATGCTTAGCTTACCATATTAGAATTTCACAGATCTTCTCTGGGTTCCTCTTCCAAACATGATGCCAGCTTGGTTACCTCCCAGATCTTTGGCACTGCATCCAATTTTTATATTTGACTTCTCAAGTGAACTCTAGTGATTTCTTAGACCAGGAACGTCCAACTTTGGCAACTTTTAAGACTTATGGACATCAATTCCCAGAATTCCCCAGCCCGCCATTTCCACACCCAGGGGAATTCTGGGAGTTGAAGTCCACGGGTCTTTAAAGTTGCCAAGGTTGGAAATTCCTTGCCTTAGACCAACCAAGCTAAGGGATAATGTTCTAGGATGTTGAAAAACATGGTTTCTTTTCTCTGGCTTGAATCTATCTCAACTGAGGGGAAGCTCAAGTCCTTCATGATCCTAACAGCTTCTCTTCCCGATTTCTTTCACCACCCTCAACATTTTGACCTAAATATCTATCTATCTATCTATCACATTTGTGGCCAGACAGTGCCTCCCATAGTGATTGCGCAGAAGACTACGGTTGTCCAACATTTTCTACCACATTAGATTTTTATACCCTCTTCGATCTAAAGAACACTACCTCTTCCAGCATGCCCTTCCTCATCAGCAAGGGGGCTGCCCGGTGGGGGGAAAGCCTTGCTCAGAGACAGCGGCAAATCTGGTCATCGGCCAAGGGAATAATTTCATGCCCCTTGAGGTTTCAGTGCCAAGCAACAAAGGAGGGATAATTAGACCAACACGCATGCCTTCTCCTTCTCCATCTTGCGCACAAGCATGCCCGCCCAACGTGAAATATTTCCCTTTCCCCTCAAACGTGATGGTTGTTGAACTTATTTTTAGTGTCATTTGATAAGCTTCCCTGCTTGCAGAGAGACATCCCACTGACCCAGCCACTGGTCATTGTCTATACCGGTTCCCATCAAAGTAGGCGCATTTTGTCAGGTTTCGCCTCGAATATCCATTTTGCATCTGAAGTACAGTATCGAAAGTGACTGGATCATTTGAGCCTTTTTCTTCAGCTGCTGCCTTCCTCCCACCCCCCACCCCACAGAGCTCCCTTTTACGCTAACACTGCTTGGCATGGCCGATGTGACACGGCATGCTTTTTCTCCCTTTTTTGGGGGGGGGTAGGTTATAAATATATATAAATATATATATATATATTTATAATACCTACTTGGTCAATGTTTCCTGGTGGCTGGCACATTACACATTTGCTGTAGAAATGGAAAGGGGGAAGGGAAAAAGGAAGTATCTTGCCTTCTTCCCTCCCCCAGCTCCCTTTCTCTTGGTCCCACTGTTGAATCTCCACCAAAGCATGGTAGCCCCTCAAAATTGAGTAATGCGCATTACGGGGATAGGTCATTCAATGTCAAAAGGCATAAAAAAGATGAGCCAAACCTTCACAGGCTGCTGCTTGCTGTTGCCTTTAATTATATTAATTAAACTTTGAAATTCTCATGCAAAGAGAGTTGCTGGTTTGTGACGTTGAAGAGCCCTTGGAGGTTCGGCGATGGTTCAGGCGGAGGGAAGAGAAAAGAGAGAAAGAGAGAGGGAGAAAGAAAAAGAAAAAAAAAGACCCTGAGATGCCAGCTTTGTGGTGGCTGTATTTTCCTCCCTCCCCATCCTATTACAATAATCCATAAGCCCCAGAATTACTACGTATGTTTACAAAGGACAATGTTTTTATGCGCTACTGAGCACCAAGTGCAGAAAAGGGGAAAGATACACAATTAGGCGCAGTGCACAACCCTCGACGCCTGAGCTCCCTCGATTTCCACTCAAGATCTTTGGTTCCAGGCGGTCTTCCTGGAGAATAACGCTCTATTAATTTTTCTTCTAGTCCCGGGTGCATCATGTAGAAGAAAGGTGTCTTCGGAAACTAGAGGGCAAAAGTTTCGCTCGCCACCAATGCCTCGAGGCACCACGACTGCGTTTGGTCGTACATGTGTACTGCGCAGCGTCAAAGTGACAAGATTTTAAAGTCAGAGGTTTCCCGTAAGGCACAATCTAACCGGGTGGGAGAGCGGGGGGGAACGTGGACCAAGACTCAAAGATTTCCATGAGATGACACCGCTGTAGGGCAATGAACTCCTTCTGTGGTGTGGGTTGTTTTTTTTCCAGCCCGGTGGGAATTTCGCTCTCCTCCCTGGGGTAAATACATTCATATTTAAATAATAAGTTCCGTCTTCGTGGCCCTAAGACAAGAGCACTCCAGAGAAGAGGCTCATCAAGTTTTGAGTGCTAACATCAGAAAAGGCCAACCTGATCAGGCACTTGCTCGTGGTTTCCTGTGCTGTGGAAAACTAGACACACAATGCCAAAATTCTTCCTGTGGCCACTTGCAGAGTGTATAATACTGTAAGGAATACTGTATGAAGCAGTAAGCTGAAAGATAATGGCAGATGGAAGAGCTTAACGTGGCAGTGGATGACTTTTGCAGAGCCAAATGGAGTAAACTTCCAAACTCGGAGCTAAGAGTCATTCTGAGGATCTCTTTAGAAGTGCTTCACTCAATGTCTTCATTTGGTTATAATAATAATAAGAAGAAAATGATGGCTTTTCATTTTTTCCCCCCCTCTCTCCTTGTTTTACTGAGACTGCACTCTGGTAAAATTTATGCACCGGCCCTGCAAAGACAAAAAAAAAAAAAAAGAAATAATGAAATATTTAATTTGTGACACAGGAAAAAATGATAATTGCAAAACGTTAGCAAGGTTAAGTAACGGCTCTCTAACTCAAAGGGTGATTTATACAGGAGGAAACAGAATACGCTATTCTTGGCAACAAAAACACTGGTCATTTTTTAAGAGGACAGGAAATTTAAAGAAATATGTATCATGCCACAGGAAGGAAAAGAATAAACAGCCCGGGACCGTTTTAAAGATGAACGTATTTCTTACAGTTTTCATCTAGCCTTGTTTACCATCAATTCATAATTTGGTTATGATCTGGAAGGATGACTGCAATGCACTCTGCTCTACATGAGGCTGCACTTGAAGACTGCTTGAAAACTTCAACTGATCCAGAATGCCCCTTTTATGTTTGCCCATGTAAAATATCCGCACTAGCTTCCAGTTTCTTTCAAGGTGCAACTTCAAGGTGATATTTATCGCCTTTAAAGTCCTATGTGGCACAGGGCTGTAACAGGGAGACATCCTATTAGCTTAGATAGGTTAGGTAAAAGGCAGGAGTGAAATGCTCCCGGTTCGGACCGGATCGCCCGATCCGGTAGTGATGGCGGCGGGTGGTTCGGAGAACCGGTAGCAAAAATCCCTGCGCCCCCTCTCCCTCACCATGCCCAGCTGAGCCGCACGATTATCAGAGGCTTTTTTTTATTATTATTTTTAAAAGCATTTTTTCTACAACCTCTTCCGATGAAAAAATGTTGTTAAAAGTTTTTTTAAAAAAGCCTCTGATGATCGTGTGGCTCAGCTGGGATCGTCAGAGGCTTTTCAAAGCATTTTTTCTGCAACCTCTTGGCCGAAGAGCTGGTAAAAAAATGCTTTGAAAAGTCTCGGATGATCCCAACTGAGTTCTCTGATCGGCAGAGAGGCTTTTCAAAGCATTAGAAAAAATGCTTTGAAAAGTTTTTTTTTAAAGAAAAGTTGGCCACGCCCACCCAGTCACATTACCCCCTCCCTAGGCCACACCCACAGAACCGGTAGTAACAGATTTTACATTTCACCTCTGGTAAAAGGTAAATGTAAAGGTTCCCCTCGCACATATGTGCTAGTCATTCCCGGCTCTAGGGGGCGGTGCTCATCTCCATTTCAAAGCCAAAGAGCCAGCGCTGTCCAAAGACATCTCTGTGGTCATGTGGCTGGCATGACTAAACGCCAAAGCTGCAAGGAGCACTGTTACCTTCCCACCTATTTTTCTACTTGCATTTTTTATGTGCTTTCGAACTGCTAGGTTGGCAGAAACCAGGACAAGTAATGGGAGCTCACCCTGTTACGTGACACTAGGGATTCGAACCACCGAACTGCCGACCTTTCGATCGACAAGCTCAGCGTGTTAGCCACTGAGACACCACGTCCCTACATATAGGTTAGACAGGCTCTTAATCCCTTCCCCTGAATATTGTGCCATCGGATAGGAGCTAGGAAGTGTGCCTTTTCCACGGCTGCCCCTGCCCTAGGGACACTCTGGCCCCTGACGTTTACCAGATCTTCACTCTCCTAGTCTTCCATAAAGCGTTGAAGATGTAGCAGCGTTTCCCCGGAGTATTGGGGAAAGAGCAGCCATTTAGAATTTTGACTTGGTGAAAGGTTTTACTGTTTGTTTTATCGTTTTAATCAGTTTGGTTTTACAGTTCTAATGTGATTATGTATATCTTTGATTGGGAGCCATTTTAAATAGATAGATAGATAGATAGATAGATAGATAGATAGATAGATAGATAGATAAAGGTAGATTAGATGAATAGATAGATGATAGCTAGCTAGCTAGATGATAGATAGATGATAGATATAGATAAATAAAGATAGATGATAGATAGATATAGATAAATAAAAGTAGATAGATATAGAGAAATATAGATTAGATGATAGATGATAGCTAGCTAGCTAGATGATAGATAATAGATACAGATAAATAAAGATAGATGATAAATGATAGATAAATAAAGATGATAGATAGATGATAGCTAGCTAGATGATAGATGATAGATAGATATAGATAGATATAAAGATTGATTAGATGAACAGGTAGATAGATGATAGCTAGCTAGCTAGATGATAGATAGATAGATAGATAGATAGATAGATAGATAGATAGATAGATATAGAGAAAGATAGATTAGATGAATAGATAGATGATAAATAGATGATAGCTGCTACATGATAGATAGATATAGATAGGTGATAGACGACAGATAGATAGATAGATACAGTGGTGGGATTCAGCCAGTTCGCACCACTTCGGGAGAACTTTCTGAGCAGTTTGGCAAACTGGTTGCTGGAAGAAATAATTAGGGCAGAGAACCGGTTGTTAAATTACTTGAATCCCACCACTGGATGGATGGATGGATGGATGGATGGATGGATAGATAGATAGATAGATAGATAGATAGATAGATAGATAGAGACAGACAGACAGACAGACAGACAGACAGACAGACAGACAGACCACCAAATCAGCCAAAGTGAACAACTACAAAAGGGGTGGAAATAAAATAAACTTTTCATATTGACCCCCTGCCTTCACACCTGCAAAGCTTTTGCCTTGTGTGACTCCATCTACGGAAGTGGGGATTTAAAAAAAAAAATCAAGATGGTGGATACGATCATGTGATCAAAGCCCCTTCCATTTTAATGTACACCACTTTGGGACAGATGCTTCAACCTGTGACAAATGAGGACCTTTTTCTTTTTCCACCTATTTTAGGAAACTGTTTTAAAATGACCCAATATTGTTTTCCAGATGGTTTGGAATTTTTACCTGCAATAATATAAAATGTTACAGCTACCTGTTGCTGCTGATAATGAAGAGGTTACTTCGATCAACCTTATGCTCTGGGTTTTTTTTTTTTTTATACTGATCTGTTTTGTATTAGGTGCTCTTAACAGATTGCCCAATGAATGTGGTTTGCTCAGCAATCTAAAAACGTAATAAATAAATAGATACGGACACCAATGCGTGCAGGAAAGATTTTAGCCTTGGAAAAAAATTATCTACCTTCATCTAAACATCCTTCAGAAAAGCTGGACGACACTTCCCATCAATTCTACCAACTCCGCCACTGAAGACTAATTTCAAAACCAAGATCTACCAAAGTAGAAGACATGCTGGTTGGTTTTTGCTGCAATAGAGTAGAGCTCAACTCTGCCACTTGACAAAAATTAGCATGATGTGAATTGTATGTGACTTATACTTTTATGCAGTGGTGAAATCCTCTGTGGTTTGCTACCGGCTTGCTACCCACGCATACGCGGTGTGTGCCAAACGCATGTTGCGTGCGCGCATGTGCAGTGTGCACCGAATGCCAAACGCACACTTTGCGTGGAAAAAGAACGCTTAACAATGTAAGTAGAACAGCGAGGGGGGATGGAACAGCTGTGCCACGCTATTTAGATTTGCTAGAAAGCAAGATTTCCTGCTTCCTAGCGAATATAAATCGCGCGGCACAGCTGATCGTCGGAAATACCGGTTCGGACCAACTGGTAGCTTTTTTTTTACTACCGGTTCACTGAACCGGTAGCTTTTATCCCTACCAATTTGCCCGATCCGGTGCGAACCGATAGGATTTCACCACTGCTTTTATGTGAAGTATATGTGAAGTATGAAACTGGACAGCCACTTCTCTGAAATGGTATAGGGCCGTGATGGCGAACCTTTGGCACGTGTGCCAGAGGTGGTACGCAGAGCCCTCTCTGTGGGCACGTGCGCCATCGTCAGCTGCTCATCTGGTTTCCAACTGGTCTTCGTGGGCGCCTGAGCACCTGAAAACAGCCCGAAAAACAGCCTGAAAATGGCCCGAAAAATGGCCAAAACCAGCCAAAAACCAGGTATGTGAGCGCAGGCCAGTTGGTCTTCGGTTTTCTGGTGCTCCAGAATGCACGAAGATCAGCTGGCCGGTGCACCAGAAACTCAAAGCATGCACACTGGCCAGTTGGTCTTTGGGTTTCTGGTGCTCCGGCACACACACATGCACACGTGTGTACATGTGTTCCAGTTTGGGCACTCGGTGCCGAAAAGGTTCGCCATCACTGGTATAGGGTCTCCTGCTTGAGCAGGGGGTTGGACTAAAAGACCTCCAAGATCCCGACTCTATTCTATTCTGAAGTTCAGCCTTTCATTTAATTTCCTTAAGGGCTCAGGGTATAACTCGGTATTTTAGCAGCTAAGCAAAACAGAAATACAAGACCCTGGGTTAGGATATGGAGTTGTCCAGGCAATATATGTGTTCTGTGACTTTAATATGAATATGTATTGTGTGACTTTAAGGCTTTACTGCTGAATCATTGTAATGCTGAGTCATGTTGTAATTAGGTAATCTCTGGTTGTGAGGGTATTTAAGCAAGGTATTGTAACGTGTTCAGTTGCTGCTATGATATGCTGCCATTGTGTATGAAGCTGATGTGATATGCTACCAGAGTATGATATGCTGCCATAGTGAGGAGTTGCTATCTGCTATCATCGTTGGATGGATCTGCTACCATCGTGGTTTGTGAACCGGAGTGAGTTTGTTATTCTAAGCAACTACTGTCTGTTTGGTAAGAAGATTTTTGTATCACTGGACTGATTTAAATGGCAAAGACTTGGAATTTGTTTAAAGACTATGAGACTGTTTTTCTACTATAAAGTAAGCTTTTGATAAACCAGTTTGCACAACTCTTATTCATTGCTCTCAGCAACGTTTCCTTGTGCATTTACTCTGCTGGTTGGTAACACAACACCAATATCCTTAACACCTTGCTCATATTTCCCAGTCCACGGTGTTGAAAGTCATCAGCAGTGTCTACATGGAAGGGGGAAGGATGAGAAAAGTAAGATGGTCACTGTAATCCTGAAATCAATGTCCACCTCTTTGGTATGTTGACATTCTGCACATATACAAAGGGGAATTATTTAAACCATGCTGCCAAAACCACTCTCTTGACTTTTCGGCTCCCTTCTCGTTCACATG